CTCCAAGCTCTCCTTGACTTCAGCATTGGTGATGAGAAATAAGTTGTGATTTTGATGGGCTTTCCTTTGATTTGTCTCTTTTCCCTAACAGCTTCTAATATTCTACTCTTGTGTTGAATTTCTGGAATCTTGACTATGACGTGCCTGGCTGTAGATTTTTTTTTTGTCATAGCCAATTGGAGTTCTATGTGCTTCATTTACTGTATGTCAAATTCTTTTTCTCTACCACGGAAGTTTTCTGCTTTGACATCTGTAAACAGTTTTTTTTAATATCATTTGTGTTATCTCCTCCTTTTTCACTGACTCCAATTAATCCTAAGTTATTCTTCATTTCATAGTCTAGCAGCTTATGTTTTGATTTGTTGTGGTCTCTTGCTATTTTTAAGAAATCTTTCTTTTCATGATTGCTGGCTGCAAGCCTGTCTTCTATATCTAAGATCCTGTCCTCACATTGGCTTAATCTGCTGTGGATACTTTCAATGGAATTTTTCTTCTCCTGGATATCTGCTTGAATCTGCCTTATGCATTCCATTTCTTTCCTATACTGAGCATTCATGGCTTCCATAATTTTCTTAAGCTCCTCTATTTTCTTACCTGCATCTGCTCTAGAGTCACTAAGCATGGTTTTCATTGTGGACACCATCTCTGCAGTTATCTGAGGATTATTTCTGATTTGATTTTTTTCTAGAGCTTCTATTGCTTTGTTGTTACCACTTCTGTGATGCCAGGTGGGTGGTTCTCAGATTGTCCCACTTCACTGCCCCCTGGGTTTGCCTTTGGTGATGTTTGGGGTTGCATCTTGTTTAAGTGTCTTCTCATTTTCTTTTCCTTTTTTTTTTTTTTTAGTTTAATTCCTGGGGTGATGTTTGTAACAGCTGTTTACAACAGTTATATCACTTTTGGCTATAGTGGTACCAATAACAATAACATAAAACACACGAAATGACAAACTAAAGACAATGAAAATGACATTGAAATGACATTGAAAATGACATAGAAAATGACAAACTAAAGCAACCATTAACTTGCCACTTTTAACCATATGAACTAAATTTGTGGTTATACAACAAAATCTAAAACAAACCAGAAAATTTTGTGCAGTATACAAGTCCTTAGTATGTCAATTTTGTCCTCAGGGGTTAAAATTTAAAATGGGTTACAGAGAAAATACAAGTGGAAGAAGAGGAAAAAATTAGAAGGCTGGAGGGTAAAGGGGGATCCCACTGACTTTGGGAAACTGGTGCAGAAAATTGGAGGAAGAGATAAAATGAACTGAACAGAACCACAGCCACAAAGAGGCTAGACACCATGGTTACACTCATATAAATACAAGTTCAAACAATGAAGGAGAAAGAAAAAAAAAAAACACAAAGACAAAACAAAACAATACAAAAAAGAGCAAAACTACAACAACAACAAAAGAAACAAAAAGAGGAAAAGGAAAACAACAACAACAAAAAGTCCACTTCCAGGTTTATCTCTGCTGGCACTGGTAAACAACCTATGTATACAGTGTCGCCATCCCTGTTGATTTATCCCCCAAAGCGAGCCAGCCTGCACCCTCTGGCAGTTTGCAGACGTCAGTGCACCTTCCATAGGCCCGAGCCCCGCCGAAGCCACTAGGTGGAGCCGGCAGCCGCTCTGAGTCCTGAGCTCTGTCAGTCTCTCTCCAAAATGGCTCCCTGCTGATCACTCTCAGTGCGGGACCACTGAGCCCTGGCGTTCACTGGCAGCTGGTGCCGTCCTTCACCTCAGCGTGGAGGCCTCGGGGTCGCCAGCGTCGCCGTGGGCGCAGGTTGCACCGCTGCTCTCACACGGTGTTTCACATCTCGGGAGAAGGCAGCACCGCCTGCCTCCCTCTTCACTGAAGTTTCTCTCTGCACTCTCTCCGTGGCTTCAGTTCGCGCCTCAGTTCCTTCCTGGACTGGGGGGACTCGCCTCCTTCCTTCTCATCTTCCCCACATTGCTATATTCCGGTGTCAGGACGGCAACACCCAGAGAGGTTCTGTCTCTGTTGCCTGGCACTCCGCCATCTTGCCACGCCTCCCCTCAGCGTGTATCGTCGATCACTAGTATCCCACTCAGGGCCAAGACTGCTGGGACTCATGTCTTGCACAGGCATGTGCGTGTTGTAATATGTAAGTACATCACTGCCTTCTTAAGAACAGTAAAGAGCACTACAGCACAGCATTGTGTGAAATCCCAATCACAAGCACAGAAACATGAAAAGCATAATACTAAATGGATGCAGTGCTATAGTTTAGATCCAGGGTATCCAGCGTTTTGGTTTATCTGGGCTGCATTGAGTGAAGAGGAATTGCTTTGGGCCACATATAAAGTGTATAATATAGTTAATATATGAATAATTAAGCTTCCTTTATATCTTTTAAGTTTTTAATTATAATTTTTTTTAGAAGGGCAGCAGCCTGTAGGCTGCAGGCTAGATATACCCATGTCAAAGGCTGAGTTCCCACAATAGCATCTTGGGAGGTGTGGAGCCCTCAAGATGTGAGGTCTAGTGGGAGGAAGTTAGGTCATTGGTGAGGAACACGCTCTTGAAGAGGGGTACAGGACTCCGCCCACTCCTTACTCTCTCTTGCTCCCTCTCTGCCATCAATCTAGGTCTGGCCGTTAGTGTGTCTTGCCTGATTTCCTGCAGATCTCCCTGACTGCTTCTTGCGTGGGTTCATCTTCCTTAAATTGCTCCTTCCGGTGCATCACAGTCCTGACCAAGGACCCCTAGTTTGCTCCCCTCCACCAAAATAGTGTTTAAATGAGTGCTGTCCAGTGGATATATTATGTAAGCCATATGTACCATTTTAAATTTTCCAGGTGTCACATTTTAAAACATAAATTAATCTCAATAGTGTATTTTATTTAACCCAGTATATCCCAAACTATAATTTCAGCCTGTAATCAATATAAAAATCATTAACAAGTTATCCAATGTTCTTTTTAATCTCAATTCAGATTCCAAATTTCCACTGGAAATATTTGGCTCTCTAATCAATAATCATACAATTTACAGTTTAAAAAACTAGATTTGCATGGCCAACCTATTTGAAATATACTTAAAAGTTTTCCAGTGACTGAATCAAATGTCAAGTTCTGTTTTTATTTTCGAGACAGTGTCTTGCTGTGTAGTTCAGTCTGGCCTTGAGTTCATGGCAATACTTGGTAAGTGCTGGGATTATAGGCATGCACTACCCTGCCTGTCTCAAATGTCAGTTTTTAAATTTAAAGTTAAGGAAAAATTCTGGGCATTGGTCACATCAGCCACACTCCAAGTTCTCAGTGGTCTTATATGGCTGCTGTCAGACAGTGCAGGAATGAACCTTTTAGCCTGGCATGTGGGCATCCCATCGTTGTCTGCCCCTCCTGCCTCGCAGCTGTCCCTCCCTGGCAAGGCCCACTCCCTGTGTGCACTGCTGCATCCCTTACCTGAGTGCTACCATCATGCTTCCTTGGGCCCTTTTGAGTGTCAGGATCAGACAGTTGAGTATGTCAGATGACATAGGGGGCATTTGCTACAAGGATACATGAGGACTAGGCCTGAAAAACAGTAAAGGCCTGACACAGTGCAAGACCCCAGCCCAAATCCCTTCCACCTCCCTCTTGCCTTTGGCACCCTCATTTAGGAAGATCTCACTAGCTTTGATAATGGAATATCTGAGCTAGGAAGCCCTGGCTCAGAGGTGAGTCTTGGTATAGTCATCTCTGGCTAACAAAGCCGAATAACAAAGTCTTTGGCAGCCTTTGTCAAAATGGAGAAGCAGGAGGCAGTGTGGCCAGTGGGCACTGTGCCATGCTGTGGCTTTCCGAGAAGTGAAATTTATCGTGCTTTAAGAGATTTTTTCCTTAGGGGGCAGTGTGGAGGCACCAAGACAGATGCCTGTGGCTCTTGGAATGGCTTTTGCTATTCAAGCGGGGTCAGCCCTGCGCTTTGACTGCCATCTTGAACTATAAAACTCCATATTTTCAACTTGCCCCAGATTCCCACCGTTGAATCACTTGCGTGGACATCTCTCTCTGGGAAGCACTTGTGTTTTGGGAAGTGGCACCTGTAACCCCTGCACTTGAATTGTGTTCTCCTTTCAGTCACTTGGCCTGCAAAGCTCTCAGGAATGAGACCCAGGAAGAACCAGTTTTTATGGAGGAATGTTTGGGAATAGTGGGAGCTTTCAGGGGAACAGGGCCTATAGTGTGAGTACTGGGAAGAGAGAAGGCGCGGCTTCAGAAGAGGGAGCAGCCCGTCCTTTCCAGGCTGCCTGGGGCCAGCTCTGCTTTAAAGCCGTTCCCCTTCCACCGAGTCAGACCTCAAAACCCCACTGTTAAATCGGCACACGCTTACAGTCTTCACCAGGCTGTGCACATCGACGGCACCACGGTTAGAGACAGAAGCATTTTTACCCAGCGAGGCGGCAGCTATTGCTTGCACTTGACACTGTTGTCAGGGCCTTAGCTTTGAATGCCTGGACCCTGTCACTTGAAAGCTGGTCATCAAATAAGTCATTCCGTCCACTGCATCTCAAACGCTAATGTATGTACAGATCACCCGACTGACCAGGCAGAACTGGATTCAGCGGGTGTGGGCTGTGGCCTGATGTTCTGCATTTCTGCTAAGCTCCTGTGTGTTGCTGAGTAGCTAGAATTGAACCTTTCCAGTCCTCAGTGACCTCCACTATGAGAATCTCAGCTGTGAAGCGGGAGGCAAATTGCACCTACGGGTGAGGGTGCCTTCAGTGAGGGTGCCTTCAGTGAGGGCCTGTGTTAGACAGGAGAGCTGTTTCCTCCTCTTATAAGGCCTGGCACTGGGTGGGAACTTGAAACGCCGTTTGACCCACATAGCTGCCTGGATGACTCATGTTTGTAATGAGGTCTTACTTAGGAGCTTTCCAACTTGACGACCTCTGGTTGTCCTTCCCACAGTGTAGAGAGACTCGTTCACCCTAGGATTCAGACGTGACGCTCAGATCTGGTTCTTTGTCCCTTGCCGGCAGGTGGTTGCCTTCATGAAGTCTCCAGTGGGTCAGTGCTTGGACAGGCATCCTTTCCTGGCCCTCTCCCTGCTGGTGTTTGTGTCCATGTCTGCTGTCCCTGTTGGGATCTTCCTGCTCCTCGTGGTGCTCAGCTGCCTGGCCGCACTTGTAGGAGTCATATTACTGGAAGGTATCCTGCTCAGTTACTGGAAACTGACTACTTGGGAAGACAGCATTTAGTGGGCATCCACCATTCTTGTCACAGGTTCCCATTTCCAAAATAAGACAGCTTGTCAGAGCAGTTAAAACATAGGCTCTAGCCGGGTGCAGTGGCGCGTGCCTGTAATCCCGGCACTCAGGAGGCTGAGGCAGGAGGATCATTGTGAGTCCAAGGCCAGCCTGGGCTACAAAGTGAGTTCAAGACCAGCCTGAACTGCATAATGAGATGGTACATCAAAAAGACAAACAAAAAAATGGGCTCTAGAATCTGCATAGCAAAGCACCTCCACTAGTGTGATTTTAGACATTATTTACCTTTTCTGAGCCTCAACCTGTTCAATGGGTAACAAAAATGAGCAAAGAGACCCAAGTAATATAATGTGGGAACAGCAAAGACTGGAAGCACCTGGAGGGCTGGCTAGTTGCTGTTAAACAGTGAGGCACACCCAAGTTAAGTACCACAGAATCTGGATTTTTATGGAAATCTTGCTTAAAAGTTTTGAGCTGTCATTATTTTGAACGTACTGGCCCAATGTTTGCCTGTTTTGAACCAGGTGTTGATGATCGCTTCTTCTAATCATGTTCTCCTCCTAGGGCTGGTCATTTCTGTGGGTGGCCTTACACTACTTTGCGTCCTCTGTGGCTTGCTCTTCATATCGCTCGCCATGTCCGGGATAATCATGATGTCCTATGTGGTGGTCTCCAGCCTCATCAACTACTGGTTTTCTTCCAGGTAAATACATGTTAGTGGAACAATTTAATCTTGGCCACTGGGGGGAGTTTCTAAGATATTGTACTAGCACCAGGTGGTGCCTAGAAGGCACATTGTAAGAGGCAGGTGTTCTCATAGTTCCCTAGTTCCCTATCAAAAACTATTGTGTTTAGTTCTTTAAAAAGATACCCATTTAGCTTCCAAAAGTCAAAATAAGGGTTTTTTATGTGTGTGGTAGGAGAATGTTGGGGAAAGAAGGAGATCAATAGGAAAAGAAATGATCCACCATCCTATTCAAGATGTGCATCCCCCGGAAGGTACAGGAGCCAGGAATCTCTTGTCCCCAAGTCTGTCTTGAGAGAGAGTCCCATATTGGAGTGTATGGATTTCATTCCTGTAGTACAGCTCCTAAGTACCAGTACTTCATCTTTGGACTTTTTATTAGTTTTCCCCGTTGCTGGTCACAATACTTGAAATTCACAATTTAAGACAGAAAGGTTTAGTTTAGTTCGAGGTTTGGGGCAATTCAGTCCATAGTCAGCTGGCTGCAAGGAAAGAACATCATAGCAGAAGAGCCTGACAGAACAGAGCTGCTTAGGCCATGTCTCCATGCCCAGCCCAGATGCACCCAGGAGCACGTTCTGCTAATCTGCTAGGCCTTTATTAATCCAGTGAAGTTGACATAGCAGGAGTAACAGTCACAGCCTTGACTATGACCTGCTCAAATCAGTAATAAATTCTGGAGTCAAACCAGCTGTTTGCTGGGGAGATAGCTCAGTGGCACAGCACCTGCCTGGGAAGCACAAGGTCCTGAGTTCAATTCCTAGTACCAAAAAAAAACACCCAAAAACAAAAAACCCCCAGCTGTGTTGAAATTACTGGGATATGCTGTATTTCTCTAAAATAAGCTGCCCTCCTAAGATATTTTAAAAGATGATTTTTAACCTTTGATGTTTGTCCTGTGTATACTTTTAGACTGGTACATTCCCGTGAGGAGCACTGTAGCTCTTGCTAATTGGATGTGAGCGGCTGACACCCGTTAGGGCTTGCTTTGTGCCTGGGTCTCTGTTAAGCCCTTTCCAGCCTCGTAGTGCATAATCCTCACAAATAGCACCATTGTGTCATCAGGAAAATGAATCAAAGCCCAAAGCTGAAAGTAGGCAAGAAGGGGCCTACTTCTAGGTCAGTTAATTCTCAAGTCCTCATAACTGAGATACCAAGTGACTCTCGGCAACTTGTGCAGAGTGCCACGTGGTAGATACTTTCAGCTTTGCAGCCCGTGTGTTCTCCGTCATAACTGTTCAGATCTTCTGTGTAGCATGAGCAGACAGTACGCAAATGAGAGTGGGAGGCACTGGTTCTAATAAAACTTTATTTGGAAAAACAGGCCTTTATTATTTGCAAAAACATGGCCTGCAGGCCGTGGTTTGCCAGTCCTTCCTCTAAAAGAACTAATACTCTTGAGTTTTTTCCTCTACAGATAGCCCTTGAACAACTTTTCAAAATGTTGTCCTATTGTTACAATATGTTAAAGTGGGTATAAGTAAATCAGCTCAGAGGTGATTCTCACAGGATTGCTTAATTGCCTTTCGTAAATTGCCTTGATCATTATCAGACTCAAAGGAGATAAAACAAGAAAATGTTGGCCTATTTGTCTTCTTCTGATGTGTCTGAGCCAAAATCCACCCCTGGCTATGAACCCTGCTCTAATAGGCAAGTTCTTAAAAATTACACCATCGGTTGTAGCAAAATTTGAACGGCTATTTATCAACGAAGAGACTGATTGGGTGGGAATTTGTACTTCATTTCCTTATAGGTATCCAGGCTCATCGTTGTTGTTTTTTTTTTTGTTTTTGTTTTTTTTTCTTTTAAAAAGAAGAGGAGGAAAAACATTAACAGACAGACAACATTTTACAACATAGCAAAAGTACAGTACAGACAATATGGAGTTACAAACAAAGTGGTAGGGAATTAACAATGGTTGTTGTATTACATATTGATATCTTCAGGCTCATCGTTTTTACTTTCTCATTTGAGCAGAGATTTTCAAGCTTTCTGTTCTCAGGACTCATTTTACCCTCTTAAAAATTATTGAGGCACCCAAAGTGCTCCTTTTCTTGTGGGTTCAATGTGTCCAATAATGTTAGAAATTAGAGCAGAAATTTAAAAACTATTTACTTAAAAGGAAAAGTATTGCTCACTGATAGAAAAAAACAAAAAAATATATTTTAGGCAGGGTGGTGGTGCACACCTATAATTGCAGCCTGAGGCAGGAGAATTGCCTTGACTTGAGGCCAGTTTGGGCTACATAGTGACACCCTGTCTCAAAAAAAAAAAGAGAGTGGTGGTGCATGCCTATAATCCCAGCACTCAGGAGGCTGAGGCAGGAAGATCACTGTGAGTTAAAAGACAGCCTGGACTACATAGTGATAACCTGTCTCAAAAAAGACCAGACAAACAAATAAAAAACCCAAAAAGAAGGAGAAAGGCTTCTTAATTTTTTTGTTACCAAGTAGGAATTCAGGCGGCAAGTAATGAAGAAAACCCCTACATACTAACTTAAAGAATAGGGTTTTATTTTTATTTCATAATAAAAAGGTCTAGATAGCCGAGGGCTGATTCAGCCACTCTGGTGTCAAGACACAGGAACCTTCTACCTCTCTGCGCTGTCATCCTTCGCTCATTGGTTTGCCGCATCATGGCCCAAGATAGCACTGTTTACACCAGGTACATTTATAACGGGAAGAAGGAGGATCGTGTTCACCAGTACAGCTGACCCTTTTCATTAAGTAAGTAAAATCTTTTCCAGGACTTCACCCAGTTCTCCCGCAAACAGACTTCATTGGCCAGAACTTTGTCCGATGGCACCTCTAAGCTGGGAGTGTTCAGCTTCCTTCTCTTCTGAAGCATAAACTCAGAAGTAGAAGGATGCAGGGTGTGGCCGTGGTCAGCTGAGCTCTGATGTGTGACACCCATAGTCAGTGATGGTGAGGCTATTTGCAATTCAAAGATGACTTACAAATCCTATTAATACTGATAGAGCTACCACCCATGTCATCGCCCTCTGAAACATGCAGTACCAGGGACTGAACAATACACAGCAGTTTGTGTTTTTTGCCCTGCACCTTTGGCACTTCCACCGAAGGTGTCAGAAGACTACCCGAAGCAGAAGGTGGGGTCTCTGTTTTGCTGCTGTTGTTGCAGTTGTGTGATGCTGAAAGCTGCTAACTTCCCTGGTATCAGTTCTTTTCCACTGGTAAAATAGAGCTGTTGCCCTTCCTTCTTTGCTGTATTGTTGAAAAGACATAGACATTTGGGGAAAACAGTATCCAGATTAGGAGAAGGGAAGGGGGCCATCACCCTACCCCTCATCCAGTCATTTTGACCTCCCGTACCCTCCGTTTCCTCATCTGTGTCACAGATCTGCTCCCAATCTGATGCGGTTGCAAGAAGCGGCTAAAAACGTCAGCAAGGAATGTCACCTGTTCAGCTCCGTACAGTCTGAGCTTTGACCTTGGAGTAACCTTTTCTTCTTGTCCCCAAACAGACCACTGGCAAAGCAAAACCCCAGTGCCAACTGTCAGCTGGCTATGAAGGCTACAGACCTGGAGGGGCTCTACCGGGAGTGACTGGCTGGAGGGAACCGGAGATGTGTTTGGACTTCTCAGGATAGCTTTTGGGGCATGCTCAGCCCTTGGGATTAAGGCTCAGACAGGCGGCTGGATAGTCACGCACACCTAGGCTGTGTCCTCCAGCTTCTTCACACACTGTGTATAAAACCCTCCAGTGGCCAAGGTGGCCTCTCACCCGCCACTCCCAAGTATGCAGACTTCACCTTGGCAGGGCTTGTGCCTCCAGAGCTGGCCTCAGGACTTGTGTCTAAGGTCCCGAGGCAACACTAGTTTGTTTTTGAGAGTTTTGTTTTGTTTTTTTTTTGAGATGAGGGAAGCTGTTTATTTTTGCCACTCATTTGAAATACGGGGTTTAAAAAAATCTAAATCAAAACCAGCTTTTCTGCCTTATTCACTGTGTATGAGAAAGAACAGTACAATTTGGGAATAATGACCTCGCAAAGTTGGAAGAGTCTGTTTAATTTCGTGTCCCAGAGTCTTTTTGAAAAAGTCCCAAGGCATGGTTTCCACTATTACTATTGAGTGCTATTCCGTGTGGTTGATCTCTTGTGTACTGATACTTGATACTTTTGTATTGACTTAAAGAACTTGTCCTGTTAAGCAATTTCTTTTACAAAAAATGTAAAGGACTGTGAAGCACAAATAAAGCACCCCTATGATTTCTACTTCTTTGATTTATTTGCTGTATCTTCAAAATATTTGTGTAGGTGGGTTTTTTCTTCTATACCCTTTCTCTTTCCCGCGCCCCACACGAGGCCTGTGTCAGATTTGCATCACTGTGGCTGTCTGAGTAACGTCTCATTGCTGGGACAGAATGCCCAACACCCTCAGTGTAACGGAAGAGAAGTTCATTTTGACTCCCATTTCGGAAGGTTCAGCCCTTGCGTGGCTGAGCATGGCGGCAGCAGGCGAGCGGGGGAAGCCGCTCCTGCCACGGCAGCCAGGAAGCGGAGAGCAAAGGGAGGAACTGGAAAGGGCAATGCACCCTCCAGGTCACGCCCGCAGTGGCCCCCTCGTCCAGTCAGACTCCGTCTCCTAACAAGACGTCAGCTATGATGCCCTCTAATGCGGCCGCCTCACAAAGGCCTGTGGCCGCGTGAGGCTTTGCGGGGCTGTGCAGAGCTGAGCCAGCGCAGTGACACAGTACCTGAGGTAAATCACCCGGATAAGAGAAAGTGTGATTTGGCTCTTGGTTTCAGAGGTTTCGTGATTACTTAACTGTGGGTTTGGACCTCTGGTGGCCCAGCACATGATGGCAGGAGCGTGTGGTACAGCACGCTTGTTTGTGTTCTGGCAGTCGGGGAGCAAAAAGACAGGGGCTGGGGTCCCAGGATCCCCTTTAAGAGTGAACACAAAGGACCTAACTTACTCTCAACTTCCAAAGATTCACCACCTCAGCAGGACTCCAGGCTAGGGACCACAACTAACACGGGGGCCCTGGGGAACCGTAAAAGGCATGGCACCTAGCTGTTCCTTCTCTGTCGATGTCATAGTTAATCCTGGGTAGACAGACCAAATTCAAAGTTGCTTTAAAAAGTTTGGGGGACAGGTGAGGGGGTAGTTTCACTCGACCAAAAAGCTGCGGGGGAGATCTTCAGGCGCTACTGGACCCAGAGCTCAGGTGCTCTCCCTGTGCTTTTCTCAGTGTGAACTCTTTTTCTCAGGCAGGCTCATGCCAGGTGGAGGTCCCAGCAGCCTGGGTTAGCACTCTGAACTTGGAAAGGAAGCTACTTACTGCCTATATTACGTGTAAATATTATGAGTTTGTCTCTGATTAGCCAGATGAGGGTCATGTGAGCAACTCTGAACCAATAAAAGTGGCCAGGAGGATGGAATGTGCTGGTGGGGCAGGACTGGGACATGTGTCCATTCAGGAGCCAGGGGAGGGGATAGGTCAGCCCCACTGGGGAGCAGAGAGGAATATCAGGAGAAAAGGAAATACAGTGAAACCTTGGATTGGAAATAACTTGTTCTGCAAGTGTTTCACAAGATGAGCGAACATTTCTAATCAATTTTAACTTGATAAAGGAATGATGTCTTGCAACATGAGTAGTACGTAACGCCGAGCATCGCATGATCACAGCTGAGCCCTCTCTCATCCTGTCTCTGCCTCTTTTCTCCTCTCTCCCACTCCCTCACTCACTCTCTCTGGGATTGTGGGTGACCATCTCCCAAAGGCAAGAGGTTATGGAGGAGATCTCATCTGCAGAGGAGGAGGAGAAAAAGGAAGAGGAACCCCTCACTTCAAATGAGATTAGAGAGATTTGTAAGATGTGGGAAACAGGGCAAAATTTTGTAGAAAAGCAGCACCCAAATAGGGCTGTACCAGTACAAGCCGTGAACCTGTTTAACAATCACGCAATGTCACATTCCCATGAAATCCTCCAGAGGAGGCAAAAGCAAGTGTCACTGGACAGGTCCCTTGTTAGAGTTGCATGAAAAGAAAATTCCACTGAGCCGATAGATAGCAGTGATTCCATTAGTGATGGCGAAAGTCGTCCTCCACAGTAGCCCTCCTCTCTCTTGTCTCCCTCACACCAGCCACGAAGGTTTTCAAAGGTAAATGCGGGTTAATTTGTTTATTTTTCTTTATATTTTGTGTTTTATTTATTACTTTATATTACAGTGTTGTAATCATTTTTATATGAATATTTTAGGGTTGTAGGATGAATTGTCTGAGTTTCCATTATTTCTTATGGGGAAATTCACTTTTATATACAAGTGCTTTGGGTTACAAGCATGTTTCTGGAAGTAATTATGCTCACAAACCAAGGTTTTACTCTAATTGCTAGGCAGACAAAACCAAATCATGCCACTAGCCATAGTGGGGCATAAAGGCTTTAATTTGGTGCTGAAGCTTCAACAATGATGAAGAGAAAGGTCCCTGTCTCCCCCCCTGAAGTTTACTGCCCAATGCAGGATTCACTTAACCGTATTTGTTATTTGTTGCTACATAACAATTATAGCAACTTATTACCAACTGTTGGCTTCAAAGAACGTACATGTATTAGCTCACATTTTCTCTCCATTAGGAGCCCAGGAATGAGTTGTCTCGATCCTCTGCAAGACTATGGTCGCTGTGTTGCAGAGGCAGAGTTCTCATTCAGGGTTTAACCAAGGAAGAGTCTACAGATAAGCTCACACGGCCACTGCCAGCATTCAGCTCCTTGCTGGCTACCAGACTGAGGTCCTCAGTTCCTTGCTGCATGCATATTGTTCTCCATATGGCAGCTCAAAATGTAGCAGTTTGCATCGTCACAGCCACCAAGGGAGAGAGTCTCTTAGCAAGGTGGACATTGCATTCTAAGGTAATACAGTCACGTATGTGTAATCATGTACATCCTCTTACATTTTCTATGTTCTGTTGGAGAGAAGCAAGTCGTGGGAACTTCCCATGCTCAGGAGGAAGTAATTACAGAAGGGCAAGGAAACCACAGGTAGGGATCATAGGCCCATCTCAGAGTTCACTCACCACTAGTTCAAAAAATACTGGACTCTGGTACGTTCATAGAAGAAAGGTTACTTCAGCCATAGTGACCAGGAGAGGGTATTTCTGGAAGAGGGCACAGTGTCCCAAAGTTCCAGAGACTGGGAGGAGATCAGTATGTTTCAGGAAACAGAATACTGTCATGTGACTGGGCCTGGCGCGCAAAGGGTAAATGGAGGAGAGGGGAGGTCATCATGTAGGTGGCGTAATGAGTGGCGGGAGGAGGAGCCCACCAGAGACCACCTGAGCAGGCTTGGGTAAAGCCATCATGGCACAAGATTTACCTGGGTGCAGGCAGACTGAGGGCGAGAAGACTGTCAGTCTCAAACAGAAAAGCAGGGCTTTTCTAGGGCCTGGGAAGGAGGGCCACGTGAGGACCTTCAGGCGGGGGCATCGTGTGAGGAGGGTTCTGAACACACGTCTGCGGTCAAGGTTCTCAGAACGCCCAGCACAGATGTAAAGATATCAGGTGTTCCGGCTCTGGGAAGGTCTCCCACTTTATCTCTTCTTTACGACATCCCGGCCCGTTTGCCTGGGCCCAACACGACTGGTTTGCAGTTTCTTGTCATCTGCCGATGGCAGCGTGCTTCCTGGGGGCTGCGGTTTGCTGAAAGCAGTGTGCTGACTGGCAGAGTCGTGTCCAGGTTGTGCCTGACAAGTTTATATCAAAGAGCAAAGGGGAGACAAGGAAGGATCTCACGCAGGAGAGTGACACGGTCACACTCAGCCTTTTGGGGATCACTTCACGGCCAAAGGACTGGGAGCAGAAAAGCCAGTTAAGAGGCCTGAGGAAGGCCAGGGCACAGGGGAGCTGTGGCTCATACCTCATACCAGGGCAGAGATAATGGACACCTTCTTCACTTGGAAAACCAGCAGCATTTGGTGGTAGACTGCATGCACGTGGAGAAGGAAAGGAGGATACAAGGTTGGCAGCTAGATTATTAGCTTGACCCAGTTGGTGGCAGGGACATGATTTCCTAAGCATAAGATGTCTGAAAATCCAAATCCTTTTCACTTATAATAAGGTCAGATATGCCTTTCCCCTTTTATTATAATTAATAGCGCATGAATTGAACACTAAGTTGCAATATATGTTTTTTGATGCCTACAGGGTGTGTCAGCTAAACAGCTGGCTTGGAGAGCGCTCTGGGTTAGGGACATAATGTTGGGGAGTGTTTTCCATGCAAAGAGCTTTACACAATCTTTCTGTGGGATTTCTTGGCTTTCCAGCGAGGAGCCAAGAGATCATCTGAAAACATTTCTGATTACACAAACACCTGTGCCGAAAACTCAGCCAACTGCAAGTTGCTTTCCCACGGCACTCAGAAGCATTAACTCCTTGCTCCCTGGATAAGACCGTTTCGTGATTTTTCCCTACTTGCTGCTTAGTTTTTGTATCCCATTGAGATAGGATAGAAGGGGGCTGGGGATTTAGCTCAGCGGCAAAAGCGCCTGCCTGGCAAGCGCAAGGTCGTGAGTTCGGTTCCCAGTACCGGAGAAAAACCAAAAAAAAAAAAAAAAAAGAGATAGGATAGAAGAAATAAAAGGCAGAAAGTAGACAAGGAACTCATAGGTAAAAATTGTACTTTTAAGAGAACTAACACTTCCAGGATTCAGCTGACGTTACCCAAGGCCACAAACTGGCTCAATTAAGAAAGTAAACAGCAGGTTGAAAGAATCTAGAAAATGTTCAAATCGCCTATCAACAAACAAAAACATAACCCCTGCCTGTTGAATGAGCTAGATATGCTTTGAGGGGAGGAGGGTGGGCTACTTTTTCCTTGGTTTTCCCCCGCCTCAAGAAAAGTCTGCATGTTCACAGTTCCAAACTGTAATGTGTTTCATTTTTGTAAGAACCAGTACTCCACTCTTGAGACCATCCTAACTCTCTGAGAAACCCTTCTCCTGTCTCTTACTGATATGCCCTGAAAATTCTTTTTCCATGACAAAAGTCAGCAAACCTACTACGAAAGGGGTTCCTCACTTCAGCTTTAGAAAGCTCTCAGACCCAGCCTGGTGACACCATCAGTGTCTGGATTTTAGAGATAAAACCAAAGTTCAGAGATAAAAGTGATATACAGATGATGTAGGATCTCCAAATAATTCAGATAATATAAAGGAAATATTATAACTCCCAACCTGCTAGATGTCCAATACGCCGAGTTTGTTTTCCCTAAA